CCACAAATGTTTGCTAACAGCCAATAAAAGTCGAGTTTACAAAGTACAGCTGCAGTGCCCGTTCAAATTCACAAAATGGCACTTTTTCACATCTAATTTCCTCCCAAAATCCAAGACATTTACTCTATTTCCTTCCCGTTATAATGCTTGCGATTAGCCGTTGATCATCGAGTGTTTCGAATTGTTTCTCGACGCCTCGGCTACAGTGACCTGGGCCCCGTTGTGTTGACCGAGCGCGTCGGCTGCTATCTTAACGCCTCTGCTGTGTCTCGGTCGCGAAGCGAGTGACAGGAGGGCCATAAAGCATCGATGGAACAGAGGCCGTTCCCAGGTTAATCGCTCAAGCAGCTCTCGTGCTATGCACTGACCACAACGCGACGATAACAGAACGCTGATGCGCCGTGTGTGCCCCATAAATACAGCTGCTGAAGTGATGAATTCCGAAAAAAACGTGTACAGAATATAATTGCAGCACAAATAACAAATAAATCATCGGGTGCTGTCAACAGCTGCCATACAATCACGTAACATGCATCAAAGCATGAAAAAGTGCTTCCGTTTCCGAATTACATTAAAAACTACTAATTTCGCTCCTTCAGAGGCTTCCAACAAATGCTGTTTACACTTGCTCCAAAAAAACTCGAAACCCGCACATTTTGGCTGCTAGCAAAACTCCTTGTACGCCGTTTCATGTCAAGCTATTGATTGCCGCGTAAACAAGTGACGCCGCGTCGCAGTCGCAGCGACCTCGCACTTGCAGCTCCCAGTTTGTGAATCGACTATAATGGGAGGGCAAATCGCATTGAAAATAAACATAAAAGCGTTGTGATTGCAGGTAGGAGTATCATGTCGAAAATATCGATAGCCTAGAAAAGGAGAGTTTTAAAGCTTTTGTTGAGCTTTAGAAACAGCATTTATTGCAAGTAAAACATGATTGCAATTTATAAGCAAAACCGTTAACTGTAAAGCTAGGAAAGTTTTTTGTTAAGTTTTATGCACAGATTTTCTGTTCGAGTTGCATCTTATCTGAAAAACTCAAACGTTAGTTCTTCGGAAGATTGTTGGTACCCCGGAATTGGAAGAAAACGAAGGATATTACGTCGCCGAAATGATGGCAATCGTCTTCCCAGCAAACACTACGTCGTTTTTTCTTGAAGGATCCATTGAAATAACTCCATTTTTCTTACATTAGCAACAGACTAACTTCCCCAGCGTTCTCGATGATTACAAAAGCACCTGTCAGAATGGATTGCGTTGTTCAACTGTTCTTCTATTGATGTATTCGTATTTGGAACAGGGCCAATACGACATTTTAGTGCACGCACTCAATGGAGTCTCCATTGTGTACTGCAATCAATATGTGAATATTTGATTGTTATTTTATTTTTACGAGAAGTAAATCCAGCGCTTTCATTCCATGAACTCAGAACATGAACAAAATTTCGTCTAGCTATCTCCAATTATGCAAACTCCGTAACGTCGCTTCCTTCCCCAGTAGCCTTGCAGCAATTTCACATCCACTAGCAGCGATGTTAACCATGTACCAGACAAAAAACTCCATATATGCACGGCTACAGCGCATGTTTGTGGACTTACGCTTCGTAAACTTCCCACTCGTTTCTCTTTTATTTGGCAAGAATTTTCGCCATGTCGTAAGGCTGTCTGTCATTGTACAAAACTTTTTTCTCTTTCTTTTACAACGAAAATACAAATGTTTACTTAATACTAAGACTTCAAACAAAGATTATAACATTCAAAATTCACACGACGAACTTAATAATACAGTCATAACAGTACAAAAAAGACAATACAGAACATGAACATGAACAAACAAAGAAATATAAAGAAATGAGAGTCAAACAAGGGTCGGCCGGGGATCGAATTGATTGTGATTGACGGAGTGATGTGGGAGTATGAGACTGTGTGTGGGTGATAAATGTGATGAGATGTTAAAAGCGCGCGCGTGGTCGGTCGACTGAGGAACTGAATAGGCTGTGGGGTTGGTGGACATTCGGGACCACCGGACAAGACCCGCCCTGAAGGAGTGTATGTGGGGAGAAGAGCGCTCGACGACGTGGGCTAGAAAACGTCATGACGACGACGTCGTGACGGCCACGACGTCAGCGATGATCATCAGCATCGACGACGAAGTATAGTTGGCCGTGACACCGATCACGCTTCAATCACTCTCCTCGCCGCCTTCGGCGTCGTCTCCGTCCTCTTCGTCGCCTGATTCTCCCTCATGGTCATCACTTTCACCTAGAAGGGGCTTGATTGAGAAATGAGGAATTGTAGCAATCCTATCCTCAAAAGGAGCGAAAACAAACCTTCTGATGCATCGCCTTCTCCTTCCGAAGATTCATCATGCACCTCCTCATCATCTACATCTTCATCATCATCCTCTTCGTCACCTTCGACATTTTCGATTTCTGAAACGAATAAGGAAATGAGGAACATGGTATATCCCAGAAGCACTCTACTGCACATCTTAGGCTGCGTTCATACTGATCTGATAGTACGGGAACAGTTCCAGCACAGCATTCGAACCGAGCACCTTGCTGGGACGGTTTGCGAACTTCGGGATCAGTATGCACGCAGCCTGACGCTAACTTGCAGACTACAACTGCGCAGGACCTTACTGCCTTACTATATGGAACCACTAGCTTTGCAAAGTTCTTCGTTTATACTGATCCTTAAGTTTCGGAACAGCTCCAGCGAGCGCTCGAATGTTCCAGAACTAACGAAGCAGTATGAACCTATCCTTATTTCAATTAAGTTTTCTCAGTCATGAGCACTAGAGTCCTCTAATTATTAAAGGTCCTGAAGTGCTACAAGTATGCGCGTCCTAAAGTGCTACATGGCTAAAAGCCGTCATTTGCGCCACGCACGCTGCTAACGCGCATTTGCCCCGTCAGTATCGTTGCGCCCTCAATTTCGTCTTCTCATTAATTTCAGCTCCTCTAATCAACATTTAGCCCCACGAACTGTTATGCCACGTCCCAGGACATTTCCCTCTCACATTTTTTCAAATTTTCTCACAAACTTCAAGGGCCCCCAGATCGATCGTAGATCGATTATGACTGCAACTGGCGTCGTGTGGTGTGTATGAGTGCCTGTGTGTGTGAGAGC